AAAACATATATTTAAGTGGGTTGCAAATATTTCCATTAATATTTTACACAATTGGTTTATCGGTAAAACTGTATTTGATGGGGCTGTGATAATTCCGCTTCATTACGCTGGCCTGTTATTAGGACTGTTTTAGCCACTCTGGCATGCGGCCTTCTTGCTGGGCCTCCTTTCAGGGCTGTTGGTAACAACGGCAGCATTCAGTCTGCCCTGGCCTGTGACTCTGCGCTGCATCCATCTGGCCCAGGGCCTTCCACCTTCCTCTCCCGTGTCATTCCTTCCCGGCGTGATGAGTTACTGTCTGCTCAGCCTCTTTTCAGAAACTCTGGCTATTTACAATATGACAGCATGCTCCATGTAAGTAAATGATGCCGCTACTCCCTCGTCTTCAACAACAGCAGGGATGCAGGATTTGGATGAAAATTATGGATTGCCCTTTTATCAGGGCACTTGGATAAGGCCGGGTACTTGGATAATGCTGTACAAGCACTAGATCTTGTTTAGTTCCCTTTAGCCAATAGTTTTTATGCTACTTTCTCCCGGCACTCTGTATAATAATATTAAATCCAAGGGACCAAGCCCCTGTTTATTCAGTCTGTCTTCTTCGTGGATTAAAACCTGCTTTGTTTGGGAAATTCCAGGAATTAGAATTCCCATGGCTTCCATGAGCTGTATTGGATGAAATAAATACTTTTTCTTTTGTTTTTGCTACATGCTTTCTATTTTCCGTGACCAATTTAATGATTTCCACCTCCCTCTTGCTTCGCCCTGCAGCCCTCCCAGGTCTGAAGTGGGGTCAACAGCAGCAGGAAGCCTAAAAGGGACCATACAAATTTTAGTTCCCGTCTTGCATTTGGTTCCTGTGGCACTCTCTCTGGGCAAAAAATATTCCTGCTTGGAGATAGCTCTTTGCCAGGGGCCTCTATAAAGCTGTAAAACATAGCATCTCTGGCAAGGTGCAAAATACCAAATCCAATGTCCTGATTGTTACACAGAGTTAAATATTTCTTTTCCTTAAACTGGACATGAAAAGGGGCCCTTGGATGGTAGCCATGCGAATTCCAGAGCAATTTGCTGGTGATTTGTTGCATTCTCCAGGCTTCAGACGTGTGCCTGGTGCCGAGCTCAGGTGTCTCCCAGCTCCTGCAATGTGCCTGGCGGGTGCCAGTCGCATCCTACTGGGCAGGAGCTCAGGGCAGGAGTGAGAGCCGTGAATATTGAAGCGGTGACAATGTCTGTAACAAAGTGTCGAGGGTGGAGTCTTTACCTGGGAACTCCTTTCATCAGCGAGTGAGACACAGAGATGCCTGTTTCATTAGGAAGCCCTTGTGGCTATCCTGTAATGGCACCAGGGCGATAATAGCTCTTCCGTGGAGGAGATGTTGCTGGTGCCTGTGGGGCTGTTTGAAAAAGGAGCAGGAAACAGGAGTAATTCTCAAACGGGAGCCCGTGGGGTTGGTTCCCTTTGTGTCTGGGCAGTAGCCTGTGGTGGCCACCTCAGCAGGAGCGCTGCAGGCTGGGTCCCGAAGCCAAGGACCTGGATCCCGAGCGATCTCGGCGCTGGGGAGCAGAACTGCTCACGGAGCTGCTGCCGGTTGGGATGCTTCACCTTCAGCATCCTGGTCTGGAGGGTTTCTGCGGCCATGCTGTGCACCCAGTGATGTCTTTATCAAACCCCTCCAGCAGTGTCTCTTGAGTGGGTGTCTCAGCATTTTTCTGACGAGGCATAAGGCTAAACCTGTCGCGTTTTGATGAACCCTTTAATTGAAAGCCTTTCGGTGTGCGCCGTGCGGCAGCCACAGCACATCCCGCCTGGCTCTGGGAGCGTTTCCTCCCTGCCCGTGAGAGCTGGCAGCAGGAGCCCCAGCCCCGTGCCGTGGATGCCCTCAACCTGCTAGGGCGCCGCGCGAGCGCCTCGCAGCAGCCTTCATGACGCGCTTGCCTCCTCACTCACAGAAAGGCTGAGGTTGGAAGGGACCTCTAGAGATCATCTAGTGCAGCTGCTCCAGCAGGGACACCCAGAGCACGTGGCACAGGGTGGCATCCAGGCAGATTCTGAAGATCTCCAGAAAAGGAGACTCCACAACCTCTCTGGGCAGCCTTTGCCAGGGCTCTGTCACCCTCCCAGTAAAGAAGTTCTTCCTCACATGGAGATTAAACTTCCCGTGTTTCAGCTTACACCCTGCTGCATCTCATAGTGCATGGGCACGAACAATATTAGCAGGCTCTAGTTTCTGAAGCATTCTGCCCTTTGTACACTCAGACACTCATCCTACCAGTGGGCTGGAATCGGTTTGCCCGAAATGTTTGATACAGGAGTTTTAAGAGGGGAAAAGGGGGTGCAGAGAGCAGAGGGGGATTAGAGGCAGGGCTAAATCACTAGGGTGGAAAGATCTCCTGACCCATCCAAGTCCATCACTTGCATTACAGAAGGATTAGAAAGATTTTTACAAAATACACTAAAATTTAAGCACTTGACTTGTAGATAACATTCCCTCTGAGCCTTATGGTCTTCCAGTTTTTTATACATAGTAAGCCCTTATGCTCTTATATGAGTTATTTGCTCTAATCCCCACTGGGATGGGGAAACTGAGGCGATTAATGCTGAGTCTCATCAGGGTTACACAAACTGGGCTGTCACCGAGCACCAGCGCTTCAGCCCTGCCCCTGGCTCCCTCTGCTCGGGGCTCTGAGGAGATGCTCCACGCACGTGGAAAGCACCAAGGAGGTTTTGTGTCTGCGCTGCCTGGCACGGCCACAACGCCTCCCTCCTGCAGCTCCCTCCGTCTGCTCCGGTGGCTCCTTTTATCTATTTATTTATTTATTTATTTTAAAGAAAAATCCCTAATTCTAGATGACTACTTTTAAAAGACTTTCTTCTTCTTAAAACTCTTTTTAAAAGACTATCTCCTTGCTGAGGAGGAAGAGGCCACAAGAGGTGGCCTTTTCAAATTAAGCTCCCTGTACGGTGTGGACATAATAATTACTAGAAAAGTATTTATTAAAAAATGATTTATCTAAAATAAAGATCTCGACTCCTTGAATAAATTTGTTGCCACCGTTACATAATATTCACTGCAGAATGCAAATTTGTTTATGCTGGAAGAATGACACAGTTTTTCCCTTTAAAAAAAAAGAGTGTCTATTTTAGAGAGTAGCTACCGAGGGAAAAAAGAAAACAACTCGGAAATCAAATGGGGAAGCTGGTGCCTTTGGTGCTAAGAGGTGTGCAGAGGGGTGCTAAAATTCCCTGCGTTCTGTGCCCCACTCATCCCTGATTTGCAGTGCTGGAAGAAATGGGAGGATAACTGGCTTCCTGAAACAAGTGCGTTGGAACAGCAGGAGAGATAATGTCTGTCCTTAGGAAAAGTGCTCCTTGCACTTACGGGAAGCCCTGCTCGCCTCATTGGGGCGCCGTGGGAGGAAAGGAATACGGACCCGTCCGGAGCAGCGTGTCCCTCAGCGATGTGTTGCATTAAGTGACGAGGCTGAGTGGGATAGCTGCGCTCGGGCGGGAAGGAAGGAAGTGGTTACTCTGCCAGCTGGACCCCTAGCCCCCCTGGAGAGGGAGCGTTTATAAAGCACTAGCCCATCCAGCGCAAGCTAATGCCGGGGAAGCGACTCAAAACTCCAGAGCATCCCCCCGCCCCCGTCGCCTCCCTCCCGCCCGTCCGGTTGCCTCATGCGGCTCTTGCGCCACAGGAGGAGGAAGAGGAAGATTTCAAGCAGGCCTGGCTGAAGGGCTTCCCCCTTTCTGCAGAGCCACCCTGGCACCCGTAACGTTGTGCCTGAATTCACACCTGGAAGTTAGTTTTCTCTCAAATTAAATGGCCATTCTGCTGCCTCTTTTCAGAGGCTCCTCATATATATATGTATGTGTATATATATGTATATATATGTGTGTGTGTGTATATATATATATATATATATAATTTTTTAAGCTTGTAAACCAAGCCTCAGCCTCTTAGGTATGATGGAGGAAGCTGAAATTCCTGTTGCTTTGGTTGTATTCCTCACCTCTCTGCACCTTCCTGGCTCCCTCTTCTCCTGCGCATCAGCCCGCAGATACTTGTCTGCTCACGAGGCTCAGCTCTTATTAGCCTGCCTAGAAAACACATCCCCAAATACTTTTGGGTGCTGAGAGGGACTGGGCCCCTGTTGCTGGATGGAGCTGCGTGCCCCTCAGCTGCTCCCATTTGCTGCCCAGTGCTCCGAGACCATCTGCAGTCGATGGGGGCGAAGCGTGAGGTGCCGCTTCGGGCAGCAGCCCTGGAGCACGTGGCCGGCTACGCCGCCCAAGTGCCGCCCTCCCAAGCCTCAGCTCCGGCGTGTCACTTCCCCTCTTGCTCAAGCCGTCCCTGTTCTTGTCACTTGTGCGGCCTTTTGGGGACCAGGCGCTGTCTTCTGTTGCTGCTGTGTTTTTGCAGGGTCTACTGCAACAGGATTCTGGCTCATCATAAGGGTTGGGGATGCAGAAATAACTTAGAAATAATTTCAAATATGCTAGTTTCTTAGGAGAAAAGGAAAAAAAAGGTACCTTTCTAGTTATATAATTTGCAAATGACAGGCTTGGATATCTAAAATATATCTTCAGCTGTAGGTGTGCATGTACAATATCAATGTTTTCTTTTCAAAATGTGTAGGTTGATTGCTACTTTTCCTGACGCTGTCAGTTTTTGCTGCCATATGTTCTCCTTTTGCAGAGCCTTTAGCACTGTTAACTTAGCCCAATGTAAACAGACGAGGCTACATGTTACATTCCAAAATACTGAGATTGTAGAGGCACCTCCTGAAATTAGGCTTGTGTCTTTCCTGGGCTGCGCTGGAAGTTCTGCTTGCCTTTTACCTTCCCTTCCAGTTTTCTGTCTTTGGAAAAAAGACGGAAGGAATTCCCAGTGCCAGAGTAAATCGTCCTGTGGGAAAGCACGGTGTGAGGTGGGGGTTTCAGACCCCGCGTGGGCAGGCCCCGTGCATCACGTTGTGCCTCTCTCTCTCGTCCGCAGGACGTGAACGCAGGCGAAGGCAGCGAGTTCGCCGACAGCGGCATCGAGGGGGCGGCCACCGACACCGACCTGCTCTCCCGGCGCTCCAACGCCACCAACTCCAGCTACTCCCCCACGGCCAGCCGGGCCTTCATCGGCAGCGACAGCGGGAGCAGCTCGGCGGGCGATGGCCTCCGCCAGGGCGTCTACGAGAACTTCCGCCGCGAGCTGGAGATGAGCACGGCCAACAGCGAGAACCTGGAGGAGGCCGGCTCGGCGCTCAGCGACGAGCAGAGCAGCGGCACCCTCAGCTCCCCCGGGCAGTCCGACATCCTCCTGACGGCCGCCCAGGGCACCGTGCGCAAGGCCGGAGCTCTGGCCGTGAAGAACTTCCTGGTGCACAAGAAGAACAAGAAGGTGGAGTCGGCCACGCGCAGGAAGTGGAAGCACTACTGGGTGTCCCTGAAAGGTACGGAGCAAACGCGCGAGCGCTCCTCCACATGGGCATCCGAGGCCGCCCGGGGCGCATGTGTTAATGCGGAATTGGGCCCATAATTCACAGTCTGGAGGTTGTAAATACGATCTAGTGTTTAAATACTACCAGTCTACAAAGACAAGCTCCAGTTCTGCAAGGGGCTCTATTCGCAGCAGCTGCACGGGGGCCTGCATGGGTAATGCTTTGTTTTCTGTCTAGGACAACTACCCATATGCTGTTTTCCTTTTTTTTTTTTTTTACCCCAGTAACAAAACAAGATAAAGAAACCAATAGTCTAGCTTAGGAAAAGCTGCTGTGAACTTCAGCATAATTAATAGGAAGTATCAGGAAATGGTCCCAATTTTTCAGAGCAGGGTTTTTTATTTAGTGGCGTCGTGGCGTGCGTGTAGCCAAAGTCACACGACTGTGCTGGGGCTGAAGCAGGGTTCATACCAAGCTTCAAATCCTGTGACGCCGTCTAGGATGGTGTGTCTGATCACTGGGTGTTCTCCTGAGGATGCTTTTCTGCTGCTTGCTGCTGATAAACCAAATAACCTGTTGCAGCCAACACAGATCAGATAATTGAAGTTCACTGCAGGTGACAGTGGCTGCCAGTCTATGTTCATGCAGGAGACCTATCCTGGTGCACCTTTCTGCAGTGCTTTGTGCTGTTGGTTGCTGATTCTCAGACACTTCTCTTTGATTCAAGCATGTCAAACCCCAGAAGAGTGACAACACAGCACGCAGTGTGGAGAGGAGGCTGTGGTTGGGTTGCCACGACCGGTCTGAGACTTGGGAGACCTTGCCTGGTTCTGCAGCTCCTCTGCTGCCTGGCGTGGGGAAGTTGCTTCAGCTCGGGGTGCCTGGCTGCCCCACTGCCTTCCACCACCCCCTCTTTTCTTTTCCTGTATTTTTACAGATTCTGGCAGGATGGTGCTGTGGTCCGAGTTGGGCTTTGAGTACTTGTAAATGCAAATGAATATTAAGAGAGCAGCAAAACTTAGAGCTGGCCTCTGAAAGCAGCCCCTAATTAATCTTTGGATAGCAGCAAAATGGGAAGCAAAGTTTGCAGTAACCGGGGCCTTCCCTTTCCCAACTATGACCGGGCTCCTCTGTGTTTCCAGTAGGAAAGTGCCCAAGGAGGGCACAGCACCAAGCCATATCCTGGTATAGAAGGTCCTCCCCAAAAGTCTTGAAGGCTTAAAGCCCTCTCCTTCCTCCAGAAGTGGGAAACTGTGTTTTAAAAGCAAACAACATGGTGTGTGCCAGCTCTTCCCTTGCTAGAGGGACTAGGGAAGGAAAAAATAGGTGAGTTTGGCAGGCCAAGAGGGCAGAGTGAAGCCCTAATCTCCTTGGAGCGGGGCCCTGGGGCAGGAAGGTCTCGCTGTGAGGGGCCGGGAAACAAAAGGGCCATCTGGGAGGAAAGAGGGGAAGGATGAGCAGAAAGGCAATGTTATTTTAAAGCACTTTGCCTCAAGTGGAGTGTTTGCTCCTTCAATTGCTGTGCCTTTAATAGTGTCAGTATTTAAGGGAGGCTTTGAAGTTAACAGCTGCTTTTGTTTGTCCGCAAATAGTTTTCTGAGAGCCTGAGCTGACTGGGAAACAGTGCATCACTTTGCACCAGGAGGACTCTCTTCAGTGGGAGGAAAACAGCGGGCCAGCTTTAATTTAAAGCTAATGGTGAAAGGTGGGAGAAAACCAAGGAAGGAAAAAAAGAGACCCCAGGATACAGATTTGCTACACTTTTTTATTTTTTTTCCTGAAGAATTGTAAAGATGATTTTATAAAACAAGTAGGTTGTTTGCAGAGCTCAAGTGAAGTATGTTTTTGTTTTCAGTTGCATCACCGTGACTCACAGCTGAAACCTTATAGCAGAATAAGGGTCTGATTTGTTTTCCCTTCTCCCTTTCCCTTTTCCTTTTTGTCTTTTGGTACGCCAGTCTTCCAGCGAGCACAGCTCCTTCCGGACCGTTTTCCTCCAGTTATTCCTCTGCATCCAGTATCCAAAAACCCTAATCTTTGCCTTCAGGGGACTGTGGAGGCTGGCAGCTGCCAGCGGCTCGGCCCGGGCGCTTTGGCTTTGCTGTGGGGCCAGTCAGGACCGGCTGGCCGCGGCCATCCCAGCTTTGGCCACCTTGGCGGGACGGGCTGGCCCCAGAGCCTCCCGGCTGACACGTGCAGTGGTGCCTCTCGCTCTGAGCTGCACTTCAGCTGCCACCACCTTGGCTCGTGGCGCTCTGCTCTGCCTGCGTCGGGGCAAACAACGTGTCCCTGCTGCAGGGGCACCACGCTGCTCCGCGTGTGGGACAGCTGCTGGGCTTGGCGCTGGGGCTGGAAACCTGAGGAGGCCCTGGCAAATGCAGCGCCCTTTCTCATCCCTGTGGCAGTTGTAAGGATGATTTATGCTCCCAGTTATTAGCATTGATTAGGCATGGGGTGGCTGTTGCCTTTAAATGTGTTGCTTGCTAATATCTACTTGTCTCTCCTAGGGTGTACGTTGTTCTTTTATGAGACTGATGGCAGATCTGGCATTGACCACAACAGCATCCCAAAGCATGCTGTCTGGGTGGAAAACAGCATAGTGCAAGCAGTGCCTGAACACCCCAAGAAGGACTTTGTTTTCTGCCTCAGCAATTCGCTTGGGGATGCGTTCCTCTTCCAGGTTGGTATTGCTTGTGCTTCCTACCGAGTTCTCCCTTTCTCTCTCGTGTTCATTGGGTTCATCTCACGGAGCAAGGAGAAACTCTTAGCTCTGTTTCAAATCAGTGGAAAAATCCTGCTGACTCCAGTAGGTTTGGGATTTTCCTTTGTCCAAGCAAGAGGAAGGATGCAATATATCCCATAAATGCCACTCAGGAGACCCAACACCAAATGTGAAGCACTGTCAAATCTGTTGCTTTATTGCCTGGCTGGATCCTCTCTGTGTAGATGGTTGAACTTTGCTGTTAATTCCCTGAGAACTATTGTTATATCCCTGTAAGAAATCAGGCATTTTGTATTATTTGACAGTGTGTTTATAACATACAGATCAGGCCACTTACGCTACAGGACACACGGTAGTCCCTTAACTGTGCTGTAACACTATCTGCATCTCACAAGAGACATATATCAAAGATGGGGCCATACCGAGAGGCTGGAGGAGTTTGCATGAGCAAAAGGTGTTTGAAGGGCAAGGGAGTATTTGAGCTCCAGATGTTCTTTTCATTTGTGGTGGCTGCTCTCAATCCAGTTGTCCTGTCTTCCTATAGATATTAATCAGCATTTTGCTATTGTCTGACAGCAGACTAAAGGCTTTTTTTTTAAATCAGAAAATAGAAATGTCTGTTGTTCACAGAGTACATTTCTTAATGGAAATCCAGAATTTATATCAAAGGCCAAACATTAGCTTATAGATTTCACTGAAAAAAATACTTCAACTTTTTGGTTGTTACCGCATCTTCGAGTGGTTTTTAGGCCTGCCCTCCAGGGCTCCTTTCTTACAGCAAATCCTCACTAGTCAAGATTAACCTTCTTTTATTTGCCACTGCCAGTCTATCCAGAGCTTGTGCTATTTATTTCTCTCTTGATCCAGTTTTTCTCATTGGAGGAATACCTTATTTATTTCTCTTTCCAGTGACAAGGTATTTTGAGTGACTTGCGTTCTTAAGCCACAAGATATTCCACCATAGGATGTGCCCCTGCCCTCACTACCTCATGCTACACAACAAATCTTTAGTAGTAGATTGTCTTATTGGTACTCTCAGCTGTTGCAAAAAAGGCACTAGATTCTCGAATTAGAGAAAAACATCACAGCTTTACTCACTCCAAGTGGTTTCGTTTACATCCTTGAAGATGCCGAGTATCGGACTGTATACTGAAAAAGCCCACATTTTTGTGAACCTCTTCCACCTTGATTTGGTTTTTCCTCAGCACACAGTGTAATGTTGTGCTGCCCCTTTTCCATCATCCCCTGCTCTGAGAGGGTAAATGGGCCTCGCCACCTGGAGAACTTCATGCAGGAGGCAACTGTGGTTGCTTATGGGCTCAGCATGCATTTAAAAGGCCATAGTACACCAGCACCCTCTGATCTACTGATATGAGTTATAAATTCTTTTGCTTACAGTTTTCTTCAGAAAAACCTTCATTCTCATAAAATTAATGTCAACGGAGGCTAAACACTGAAAAGGTCACGTTCAGTACATTTCTTTTGTGGCAACATAGGGCCTTATTCATTAGGAGCTCTATGTCATTATGTCATGGGTAGATTTTCATGTAGCTTTGTGGGAAACAGTAAAAATGAGCCTTTTCAAATTAAAACAAAACAAAACAAAACCCACAATAATTTATGCTGCCTTGTGGAAATGTGTCCCTTCTGTCATGGAACCCATGCAACTCCAATGAAGCAGGAGTAGGAAAAATAAAAAAGAAGGGATGGTTCTGGGTGGCAGGGAAGGAGATCCGCGGTAATGGGGAGATCCTGTGCAGGGGCTGTGCTGTGGGGCTTGCTCTGATGCACGCGCAGCAGCTTGGCTCTTCTGTGTGGCTGTTCTGCAGTGTTCCCTAGCTGCTAAAATTTTGCACATACAGCCACACTTAACACACTGTTGTAGTAGCTGCTGTGTTGAGAAGATGCCACGGAGATGGAGGGCTGTTTCTATCCCAGGGAGAGTGTGTACTTAGGGAGAAAAACAGGATTACTTGGTAGTGTGTACAGACACGGGGCATCTTGTAGCACGCCTTCCCATGGCAAGGCACCTAGAGACATCCTGCACCTCCTACGCTGTGATTCCTTGCTCAGTCAGTTCTCATCATGCCTACACAAATCCATTACTTGCAAATGTCACATGCATTTTCCAGAAGCTCAGAGCAGCTTGTGACACCGCATCCTTATGTATCAGATGTTTGCAGCCTGTATACATAGTCCTTCCCATTGAGAAGCAGAGTGATTCCCCTTGCCCACACATCTACCAAAGAAGTCTTTTACTCCTAGAATCCCTTCCAGATTTCTTTTTTTCCTTCCCTCTCCCAGAAAGCCCAACCAAGAACTGAATCTAATGACATACAAATAATGTCTTAAAATGGAGCAAAATAAAAATACAACCTCTTACTGATTTTGTTAGGAGTTAACAAAACATACAATCTCATTTCAACTCCAGTGTTTTCCATACAAATAATGTCTGTATAGCTGGTGGGGTGAGATTGCACCACCTGACTGGAGCCAGGTTGTCTCCTTTTCTGCAAAAAAACAATCTTGAATTTCAACAGGAACTCCTCAGCAAGGAGGGATGAACATACCTGCAGCAGTAGCAGTAGACATTGTAGTCCATACTTACTAGCAAGAGCTTGCTTGTATTATTACCTGTGTAGTGAGCCTGCTAAATTTAAGCAATTCACTTTGCATGGGGCCCACTGAAGACACAAAAAGCAGGATGATCAGCCTTTTCAATGCAGAACCTACCTTCTCTTTAGGGCTTCTAGCCTCAGTTAGGGAAAACGGTATCATGCTGGGGCACAGCACTGCAGTCCCACAGAAGTTGAGGAGCGCCAGTCTGGAGCTCGGCCTGTGCATGAGGGATTTTCAGAATGAAGCTTCTCTGGGAGTCTCTGCTTAGCTGCAGTTGGCCTCATCCTCTGCTGTTCCTTGTGACTGCAAGGAGAGCAGTGGGGATGACCTTCTCCAGCTGAGCTCGCAACTGGAAAATCATCCTGTGCTGTCTATTTATAGATCAGGTATCAGCAGAAAGTTTAATTAGAACAAGGTGGTTTGGCACCTTGTAACTTTTCCAGCCACGAGCCAAATACCAGTGTGATTACTGATGAAGGTTGACACTCAGAGCAAGTCTGCTGCAGCACTGAGTGAGTTGGCTGTAAATTTTGTTTTATAGCCTACTCTAAAGGGCTGAGGTTTAATAAGAAGGCTAAGAAGATTTGCTTTTTATTTTGAAAGGCTGGAAAAGGAATGCTTTGAAGTATTCTCCTTCTGTGTCAAAAGCCTCTAGTCAGAATAGTGCTCTTCCAGAAAAAAAGGTACTGGTGCCCCATGCACCAACCAGATACCTCCCCTCTTCCCAAACTATCATACACATGCTGGGCAAGGGACAGGACCAGAGCCATAAAAAAATTGAGAGCCTGCCTTTCACAGTGCAGGTCGTCTCCAGAGCACCTTGAGATCTTCAGAAATGGAAAGGTTCTCTGTGTGTGCATCTGTGTGTGCATTAAAGCCAGTAATAGGTATTATGGCCATGTGTTGTGCCTTTCGTTTATTAACTGTTGCATGTCAAGAACTCTCGCCGTACTGCAGAGCGTAAAGATCGGGGCATTCTCTACCTTAAGGAGTCTAGAAAATGTCATTAAATGATGAGCTGCAAGTTATGACAGCATTGGAACAAGCAAGGTAATTCTTAAGCACTTACTGGGATACACTGTACATCTGCAAGACACAGATATAGGTGCAGTTGTAAGTGCTGACTGCCTGGTGCTGAGCTAAAAATGACCTGCTTAAGAATGACTTTTTTTATTACTTCTCTTATAAGTGGATTTAAGGCTTTGATTCTTAAGATCAAAGGGAAAGGAAATTCCTTGGAATTGCATTTGTTAATCTCTAACAAATTTTAAAGAGAATCCTGACTCTCTTCTCCTTCTTTCCCTCTCTTCAGACCTCTAGCCAGACGGAGCTGGAGAACTGGATCACTGCCATCCACTCAGCTTGTGCAACTGCGGTGGCAAGGCAGCATCACAAAGAGGACACCGTCAAGCTGCTGAAAACGGAGATAAAAAAGCTGGAGCAGAAGATTGATATGGACGAGAAGATGAAGAAAATGGGTGAAATGCAGCTCTCCTCAGTGACGGACTCCAAGAAGAAGAAGACCATACTGGATCAAGTAATCTTGCTTATGTGAAATAGGCCCCTGGGGAATATTTAAGGCCTTCTTCAGATTCCCTCCCTGCCCTCTATGTGTGTGGGCAGAGCTCCCCAGCGCGGGCAGGACGTGTGCTGGCAGGAGAGTGGGGTCAGCTGCCCTAGTGGCACCATTTCTCCAAGCGACCTGTTCTGAGGTACGGGAGAGGCCCTCTTCTCCTGGCACAGCTACCTCCACGTGAGGGCTCCGTGCCGTGGGCGTTAAGTGAGGGCTATAGGGGATGGAAAAGGTCGCCCAGGCCATAGTAGCAATACACCATATAGAGAGGAGCTGCGCACGGAGCACGAATGCGGCTGTCCCGTTGCCTGAAGCATGGGAGGGGTTGGCTCGCGTCTTCTGCTGGCGCTTGGGATGAGGCAGCTCTCCCTGGTTCCCACTGCAAGGTGCAGCCTTTCAGCTGCCAGCCCGCACTGCTCCTTGCAGCCTCGGTTGCACTGGGGAAGCAGCGAGCCTAGAGCAGACGTGTCTCCCTCTGTCCCAGCGGCACCTTGTTTTAGGAACCTAACATATGGTGCCTGCTTTCATTAGTTTGTAGCTTTTTTACCCTGGCTGCCAAATGCGCCTGGAATCATGAAGAGATTTTTTTACCCCGTAGAAAGCCATGGGGAGAGCTGGGAAAGGGGAGAGATACTTTGCCTCCGTTCAAGGACTTTGCTCAAAGACTCTCAGTCACAGCGAGAGGACAGAGGAGTCTCTCTGTTTATGTAACTGAGTTTTTCTAAACACTTTGAAATTGTTTCCTATCAGCAATCTGAATTATTTAAATAAGCCCTCACATGGGCTGATTACAGCGCTCTTCCACTGATAAGATTAATTATCCCCAGTGTACTTCACTTTTTCAAGTGTAATAGCAAGCTCCACTGATTCTTAGAGCAGTGCTGCTGTTGCAGCTGCTGATCTAGGGCGCTCTGCTTGTGGAATTTGGTGAGTTTTGGGCTTCTTGTTTCTCAGATGCCCTTGATGCGTGAAAGAAGCCTCTTAAGGGACTGCTCAGAAGAGAATCCTGGAATACAGAAAAAAAAAAAGAAGAAAAAGGGAATTTTAATCCTATTAATTAGCCTTGTATCAGAGGAGCAGTTGTCCCATGAGAAGTCTTCTGCCATGAACACGAGAAAAAGAATTTATTTTCCATTTAATGACAACTTTTCTAAAAAAAAGTGGGTTAAGGATGGGAGGGAAGAGCGAGGAAGAAGGAGAATTCTTGTTTCTTGTTCTCTGAAAAGGAGATCAGTATTGGTAAAAGAGATGTGTTAGTGGTAGCAGTAAAATTTTTTCAAGGTGTTTATCGCTGTCTTCTTCCTCCTCTCCCCTGCTCTTCTCCTCCATCTCACTCCTCCTTCTTTGCTGTGTGTAGATCTTCGTTTGGGAACAAAATCTTGAACAGTTCCAGATGGATCTATTTCGGTACCGCTGTTACTTGGCTAGTCTCCAAGGAGGGGAGCTCCCAAACCCTAAAAGACTGCTTGCTTTTGCCAGTCGTCCGACTAAAGTTGCAATGGGCCGTCTTGGGATCTTTTCAGTCTCTTCGTTTCATGCACTGGTAAGTTTGAACAGAGGCCGGGGTCATCCTTGCCAACCTGCAAACGCCTTCATGCGTTCAATAGAGAGATTAAATCGACAAACAGCAGTCTGTTTCTGTGGGGTGAGCCCTTACCTTAGCATGCAGAAAATTCAGCTTCCTGAAAGGGCTATGTGTCTTGGATGTAAACTGAAAAGCAGATGCTTGCAAATGATGGCAAGCAGAAGAACTATGTTCCTCCCAACCATGTGATTTTGACTTTTCCGTTCTTTGCTGTAAACATGCTTTCTATAAACAGATCTTCCTGTTACAAGGATAAGGGCTCCAACAACTGCTGGAGGCAGAGGGTGCCTCTGGGTGCTCACAGTAAGCCTGTCCCAAAATACAAAGTCTGCATTTGGGATAGTCAGTGTCTGTGCTTTGCAGCTTGTTCCATCTCTCTTACTGGCCTGAGGTGGAAAGCTGGATGAACATGATTCTGGAGTTTGGAAACAGAGATCTGGCTTGTAGTAAGGGCTCATCCCTAATGTCCGTGCATGGGCTTAATCCAGAAGCCCTGTGAAGCCAATAGGAGTCTTTTTGAGGCCCTTGCCACGTGTTGGCTTTGACCCACTAGGGCCGTGCTTGTTTTCTACCATATGGATGAAACTCCTGACCAATTAGTCTAATTTCCGATCCCCAGTGGTCAACACCTGGTGCTCCACAAGGGAGGGGAAGTGTGCTCCTATACTACTTTGAATGTGGCAAACAAGTCATCAGTTGTTTAAAGCGGTCATTTAAATTTAAATAATGTAACAGCCCTGCTTTTTAAAATACAGGAAAGTGTATTACAAAGTACTTTCTTTTTTATGAATTTAAATCATGTGCCTGTGGCTTCAGCTTGGGCTCCTGGAGCTTCACAGAAATAGTTGAGCTCCAGTGTTGTCTTGTAGATGTCAGCTGTACCCTTCAATTGAATCCAGAGCAGTAATTCAGTCAGGGCGTTTTTATTCTTTTATATATCAAAAGATTAGCGTCATCATCCTGATAATTGCTGGTGGATTTATTTTTTTTTAAGTGTCGGGCTGTAATTTGCATTTGTGCTTATTTCTTTGCATCTAGCAAAGCACTGAGTGTTAGCTTGAAAAACAGCCTGCCTTCTCATGCTGGTCTCTCTCGAGAGCCAAGTGAAAAGAAGATGTTTTGAATATGTTGTGTTGGAAGAGACACGTGCTCTCTTTTCCTTCAAGCAACTCTCGTGTCCTCCTTTGCCCTCAAGAGCATGTAGATGGTGCAGTGCAGCTCAGGATTTTGAGCTGGAGGCCAAATGGTGACAGCGGGGCAGCCCCAGCTCTTCTGGTCACAAGGCCACCCCATGGAAAGGGAGAAGCTTGCAGCTTCTCCCCTTCCTTGGTTTCCCAACGTACCCAAAGGGGAATTGCTGTTACTCACAGAGCAACTGTTCTCTGGATGCCCAGGCGAACACCATGTGGTTCCCATCCTCACACAAGGTTGGACTCGACCCAAACAACCGGTTTGGCAGCTCCCTAGCTTGGGGCACCACTTGCAAGGTTGGCTCTTCTAGCTGCGTTGCCAAACAGCAGTCGCAGCTTGGTTGTTTCGCATGTGGGAACGTAGCAGGAGGCCGTTCCAGGGAACGCGTCTCCAGGCCTGCGAGGCGGGGGCACGCACCCCGCCGCC